GGGTCCTCATTTTACCCACCTCAGAAGGATGGAAGGCTGAGTCAACCCTGAATCGGTGAGATTTGAACAGCCGAAGTGCAGAACTGCAGTCGGCTGAAGTAGCCTGCAGTGCTGCATTTAACCACTGCGCCACCTCGGCTCTTATGGCCATGGGGTTGCAAGTTCTGGGTTTGCAGCCTTTGGAACTGGTTCATAAGTACCTTTTGGGGGGGAGGTCTGTCATAACTTGGAACGGTCATTAACAATAAAGTTATGACTCTAATTAATGATGAATCCAACTCAGCTCCCTTCTAGCCCCAAGGCTGTCTTAAGCATGATGTAAAATGGGTCCCCAACCTGAGCTGTGGACCAGTAACCCTCCCCCCCCCTCTCCCCGGGCCCAGCCCGGTCTGTAGAAAAATTGTCTTCCATCAGACTAATCCTTGGTGCCGAAACAGTTGGGGAACCACTTGTTCTGATCTAAGCTTCCTGAGAAAGCATAAATTACAATCTTATTCTAAAAAACCCTCTTTTATTTATACGGCTGGAAATCATGGTCATTCCCAGTCCGCAGGGCTTCACAAACAATCCGTGAAGATTCCGACAGATGCCTGCTCGAGTTGCCATAGTCTTTCAGGGGAATGTTGATAAACACCCAACTTATCTCCCTTTGGATGCTGCCAGAGTCCTAATTGCCAAATGCAGAGCAAGGCCAAATAGAACTTTTCAAAGCTTGAACTGACCCGATGAACTAATTGCTTCCTGCAGCTCACATCCTGTTCGCTCCTCTTTTACGTCTTATGGGAGGGTCCCATCATCTCCAAGCCTTACTCCCAAGTCGACCCTGTTTTCTTAACTGTTCTTGCCTTTTGGCAGCTCTGCGCATGCGCACACTGGGAACAGGCTCCTGCTGTTCTTCTGCCTCGCTGATGTCAGACTTCGGGGGCTTCGGAGGCAGCAAATAACTACCAGATGGCCTGGGCCCCCTCTCTGCCTCTGTCACAGAGCCCTCATCCGAGCCTTCCCCAGAATCCAGGACGGGCCCATGTTCCTCCCCAATCTCCTCACTGTCCGAATCTGCTGCCAGCTCTTTTGGTTGCTGGTGGGCCACAATACCACTGATCTAAAAGGAGCCTGATCTTTTTTTAGGACCAAGAAAGGCATCTTAAGCGCAGCTAGTCACTATTCTGGTTTTTCTCTTTCAAAACTGTGATGGAATGAATGTGCATTTAAAAAATCTCCTTCCTTCCCCCTCCCTCCCTGTCTTTCAGACCAAAAGTAATGGCATTGCAAACGGATTTTCTGGAATTGGACCCAAAGAAGACTCCGACAAAAAAACAGATTAGTCACGCTTCTGCTGTGGGATCAAGGCTGTTATAGGAAATGAACTCACAGTGTTGTCCCCACATGGATATTTTACTGATTGCACATTTCTCTGAATGGAAATTTGGAATATGTATAGACAACCATCACCCGAAGGAGACTTGGAATAATTCTAGCTGTGTCTTTGAAAATAGTTTTTAATACATTGTCTTGCTGTTGTTGAAAATTGGGGGGGGACTGGAACCCTAACGTGCAGTGCAATTGAAGAGTGTTAACAGTTTTAGTGTCCATTTTATTAAAACCGTAACTGTCAATTCTGCTACGTGTTTAAAAAAAAAATTCCTAAAATCCTTCATTGATGATGACTCCTAGCTTTGTTTGTTTTTTTAAGCAAGAGATCATACTTACAGTAGCTAAAAAGAAAGCAGCATTGTAAATATTTGCACACTAATGATGAATGTATTGATAAGCTACTAATTTGCTTTTTCTAAATTAGCATCTACAGAGCTGCCCTTTTGCTGATTCCTCACGATGGTATAGAAAACTTTTAAAAAGCAGATATTATACATGGAGGAGACAATACCAATACAATGCCACAAAGGGAAAAATGTCCTTTTAAAAAAGTTTTTAAACTTCTAAAGGAGGGGAAAAAAGCTAAAGCTGATAAACAAACATAACTCTTTATGCAAATTCCTGTATTTTGGTTGATAATGTCTGCCTCCCTAATTAGAATAACTCCCAAGACTGCCATAGCAAATAAACCTTACTGCTCATTGTTGTGACTGTATTATTTTGTCTGCAATGTAGATTTTCAGTTGGTGCATTCTAAGATCCATGTATGTTTTTCATAAAGTAATAGAGAAGTGCTGTCTCCCATACGAAGTAAAGATTGCACCTTAGGACATGCTCATGACTTCCTTTTCAATTCAAGGCATTTTTACAGAGAACAGATGGGTGAATAGGAAATGTTCCCTGCGGATAGAGAGTTCCTTATTAATCTGCGATCGGTTTTAGTGAATAAGCAGATTACAACTCTTTGCCTAGGAAAATGCAAATTTAACTGATTTAGAATTTGAATAAAGTGTGGAAGCAATAGACACATTATGTTCTGAGTCCCACTTCTCTCCCTCTCCCCTTTTTTTCATACCAAAGTTAAGACACTAAGTGTAGGTTAAAAACCAGTTAAGTGGAGATTGTTGTCTTTTTGCACTCTGGAAGTTGAAGTCCATATATCTTCAAAATTGAAAATTGTTTGGCCCTGTATTAAATGCCATTCAAAATACCTAGCTTTGCTGCAGATATAATGGGCATTTCTGGAATTGGATAAGTGGACTGGGGGGGTGAGTGCTAGGCATTCCCGACTCTAGGGGGCGGTGCTTATCTCCATTTCAAAGCCGAAGAGCCAGCACTGTCCGAAGATGTCGCCATAGTCATGTGGCTGTCATGACTAAATGCAGAAGGCGCACGGATCGCTGTTACCTTCCCTCCTATTTTTGGTTCCAAAAATAGGAACCATAGGTGGTTCCTATTATTCTACTTACATTTTTACATGCTTTTGAACTGCTAGGTTGGCAGAAGCTGGGACAAATAACGGGAGCTCACCCAGTTATGCAAGGCTAGGGTTTCAAACTGCCAACCTTTCTTGATTGACAAGCTCATTGTCTTAGCCACTGAGCCACCATGTCCCTTTAACATACAGGTAGTCCTCAGCTTTTACAACATTACAACTTTAATGACCATTCAAAAATATAAGTCACTGGGGGAAAAAAGTCCTTGCACTTACAATTGTCACTGCATCCCCAGTCACATGATCAACATTTTGGCACATGGCAACCGGCATACATTTATGACATTTGACCCTGGGAGGGCAATTTTAGTCTAGGCCAGTGTTTCTCAACCTTGGCAACTTGAAGATGTCTGGACTTCAACTCCCAGAATTCCCCAGCCAGCATTCGCTGGCTGGGGAATTCTGGGAGTTGAANTTTTGCTTATTGAACTGTGACCAATCTGCATCTCCACGTACATTATTATTTCATTATGTTTGAACTTAGAATTATGCAGGAAGGACAACCTTATATAATATCGTGTAAAATAAAATTGGGAGTTTTCGCACAATCTATACTAAACTAATTATGAAAGCAGCACCAATTACAGTAAATGATAAAGTTAAGTTGATAATTGAAGCCAACTATTTTACATATGGCAATTCTAAATAGAAAGAATTATGAAAGGATTTAATAATTGTGACTGGTGCCTTGGGATCTTAATCTGGGTTTGACCCCATATATAGATTCTATATTCAGTCATATGCCTTGTAAATTACATGTATTGTTTTATTAGATTGATATGACTGGCACATTGTAAAGATCCAAGGCAACTAGTTTTGCCTTGAGGGATTATCTGAATCTTGATGATAATTTATGAAACAATGCCTTGGCTTGAACTTCATCAGTGGCTCAGGATGAATCATTGAAATGGCTGGCTTGATTCATCAGTTCTGTCTCTTAATTACAAAAGTCCTTATATTCCTCTTCCTGTATAGTCAGAGGCACCATAGCAGTTTGGGGGGAAATGTTGTTTTGACCTACCTAGAAGGAAGATGTTGCCTGGAGTTTTGTCAAATTCAAGTATCCCTTTTGAACAGTGGTGAAATCTAATTTTTTTTGCCACCAGTCCTGTGGGCATGGCTTGATTAGAGGGGGGTCATGTGACTGGCTGGGCATGGCCAACTTTTTCTCACTTTTCAAAGCATTATTCTCCTGCTGGTTTGGGTGGATAGACAGGAAAAAAATGCTTTAAAAAGTGGGGGGAAAGTTTGACAATTGCACGGCTCACAGCTGATGTGTATGATCGTCGGAAGCTCTTTTTTAAACTTTTTAAAGCATTTTGCCCTGCCTATTCGCCCAAACTGACAGGAAAACAAATGCTTTAAAAATGGAAAAGAAAGTTTCCGACAATCACACGGATCAGCTTGAAGCCGCACAATCAGCAAAATGGCAGTACCCATCTATCTACTTGCAAACAATGCTTCAAATTGCTAGTAGCAAAAGCTAGGGACGAGAGATGGGAGCTCATCCTGTCCCGTGGACCTGGACTCGAACCACAAAAGTGCTGTCAATCACTTAGGGCATCCAGCATCATTAAGCCTCTGCACCACTGCATTCCCCCAATACCTTGGTGAAATCCTGTCAAATGGTCTTCAGTATACTACCTGAACTGTCAAGGTGGATTTTGTAACTGTGATCATTTAGATCAGGGTGTCAAACTCAAGGTCGGGGCCCAGTTCTGGTCTGCAGGCAGGGGTGGGTTCCTGTCAGCATTACTACCAGTTTGGTGCCTGAAAAATTTTGTGCAGGTGCGCTCACTTTGCTCGCATGCATGCCAGATGTGCACTCCACACGCATGCGCATTTGCATTTAAAAAAGGAGAAAAAATTACATTTTTTCAATGAAGATTGTTCTGCGCATGTGCAGAACAGAATTTAAAGATGGGGGCACCCAGGATAGAACCGGTATGGTCATGTGTCCAGCTACCTATTCGGCCAAACCAGTCTGAACTGGTAGGAACCCACCTCTGTCTGCTGGGCCACCCTGGAAACAGGTAAGGACCAGCCCACAGTGCTTCTGCCAATAAAAATGGAGTGGCCCTCCCGAGCTCCATTTTCACTGGCAGAGGGTTGCAGGAGGCAGTGGCAGCCAAAAATGGAGCTCAAGGTCCATTTTCACTAGCAGATCACTTGGGCCACCACAGGAGTCCTGGCATGAGTAATGTTGAGTTGGCCATGCCCATCCTGGTCACGCCTTTCCCTTGAGTTCAACAACACAACCCTGATGTGGCCCTCAATGAAATTGAGTTTGACACTCCTGATCTAGATATGCTAAGGAACTAAGCTTAGCAGCCGTTGTTCCTTAAATTTCCACCACACTCTTCTTTGTTCTATCATTTGTTCTATCTTTGTTCTATCATTTCCTAGTGTGTGGTTGTTCCACTTCCTGTGAATATATACATGGTGTCCTAGTACATGATAAATCACATGTATTCTGAGTGGTATGTCCTCACTATTCATAGCCTATCCTGGATAAGCTATCTATGGATGCTGTGTTTATTGATTTGAAATGAGATCCTTGCTCCTTGAAAGCTGTTTGAGAAGAGCCATTTTTTTTTTTAGACATTTTATTAGGATTTATAGGCTGCCCTTTTCCCTGAGGGGACTCAGGGCGGCTTACAATCGTAGGG